ACCCCCAAGTTGCCCCCCCCCAGGTGTCGAAGGCGGCGGCGGAGCTGCTGTCGTACTGCGAGGCCCACGCCTGCCAGGACCCCCTCATCACCCCCGTCCCCACCTCCGAGAACCCCTTCCGAGAGAAGAAGTTCTTCTGCGCCCTCCTCTGACCCCCAACTTAGGGGGCAGACCCACACTTATGGGGCTGAGCCACAATTTGGGGGTTGGGGATACACTTAGGGGGTTGTATGACACTTTTTGGGGGCTGGAAAGGAGCTGGGGGCAGCCACAAGTCTTGGGGAGAAGCATAAAGCTCACAACTTATGGGGCAGACCCCCAACTTATGGGGCAGACCCACACTTATGGGGCTGAGCCACAACTTGGGGGGTGGGGACACGTTTAGGGGGCTGTGTGACACTTTTTGGGGGCTGGAAAGGAGCTGGGGGCAGCCACAAATATTGGGGGGAAACATAAAGCTCGGGGGCTGAGCCACAACTTATGGGGGAACCCCCAACTTATGGGGCAGACCCACACTTATGGGGCTGAGCCACAACTTGGGGGGTGGGGACACATTTAGGGGGCTGTGTGACACTTTTTGGGGGCTGGAAAGGAGCTGGGGGCAGCCACAAATATTGGGGGGAAACATAAAGCTCGGTGTCTGACCCATAACTTATGGGGCAGACCCCCAACTTATGGGGCAGACCCCCAACTTATGGGGCAGACCCCCAACTTATGGGGCAGACCCCCAACTTATGGGGCAGACCCCCAACTTATGGGGCAGACCCCCAACTTATGGGGCAGACCCCCAACTTATGGGGCAGACCCCCAACTTATGGGGCAGACCCCCAACTTATGGGGCAGACCCCCAACTTATGGGGCAGACCCCCAACTTATGGGGCAGACCCCCAACTTATGGGGCAGACCCCCAACTTATGGGGCAGACCCCCAACTTATGGGGCAGACCCCCAACTTATGGGGCAGACCCCCAACTTATGGGGCAGACCCCCAACTTATGGGGCAGACCCCCAACTTATGGGGCAGACCCCCAACTTATGGGGCAGACCCCCAACTTATGGGGCAGACCCCCAACTTATGGGGCAGACCCCCAACTTATGGGGCAGACCCCCAACTTATGGGGCAGACCCCCAACTTATGGGGCAGACCCCCAACTTATGGGGCAGACCCCCAACTTATGGGGCAGACCCCCAACTTATGGGGCAGACCCCCAACTTATGGGGCAGACCCCCAACTTATGGGGCAGACCCCCAACTTATGGGGCAGACCCCCAACTTATGGGGCAGACCCCCAACTTATGGGGCAGACCCCCAACTTATGGGGCAGACCCCCAACTTATGGGGCAGACCCCCAACTTATGGGGCAGACCCCCAACTTATGGGGCAGACCCCCAACTTATGGGGCAGACCCCCAACTTATGGGGCAGACCCCCAACTTATGGGGCAGACCCCCAACTTATGGGGCAGACCCCCAACTTATGGGGCAGACCCCCAACTTATGGGGCAGACCCCCAACTTATGGGGCAGACCCCCAACTTATGGGGCAGACCCCCAACTTATGGGGCAGACCCCCAACTTATGGGGCAGACCCCCAACTTATGGGGCAGACCCCCAACTTATGGGGCAGACCCCCAACTTATGGGGCAGACCCCCAACTTATGGGGCAGACCCCCAACTTATGGGGCAGACCCCCAACTTATGGGGCAGACCCCCAACTTATGGGGCAGACCCCCAACTTATGGGGCAGACCCCCAACTTATGGGGCAGACCCCCAACTTATGGGGCAGACCCCCAACTTATGGGGCAGACCCCCAACTTATGGGGCAGACCCCCAACTTATGGGGCAGACCCCCAACTTATGGGGCAGACCCCCAACTTATGGGGCAGACCCCCAACTTATGGGGCAGACCCCCAACTTATGGGGCAGACCCCCAACTTATGGGGCAGACCCCCAACTTATGGGGCAGACCCCCAACTTATGGGGCAGACCCCCAACTTATGGGGCAGACCCCCAACTTATGGGGCAGACCCCCAACTTATGGGGCAGACCCCCAACTTATGGGGCAGACCCCCAACTTATGGGGCAGACCCCCAACTTATGGGGCAGACCCCCAACTTATGGGGCAGACCCCCAACTTATGGGGCAGACCCCCAACTTATGGGGCAGACCCCCAACTTATGGGGCAGACCCCCAACTTATGGGGCAGACCCCCAACTTATGGGGCAGACCCCCAACTTATGGGGCAGACCCCCAACTTATGGGGCAGACCCCCAACTTATGGGGCAGACCCCCAACTTATGGGGCAGACCCCCAACTTATGGGGCAGACCCCCAACTTATGGGGCAGACCCCCAACTTATGGGGCAGACCCCCAACTTATGGGGCAGACCCCCAACTTATGGGGCAGACCCCCAACTTATGGGGCAGACCCACACTTATGGGGCTGAGCCACAACTTGGGGGGTGGGGACACGTTTAGGGGGCTGTGTGACACTTTTTGGGGGCTGGAAAGGAGCTGGGGGCAGCCACAAGTCTTGGGGAGAAGCATAAAGCTCACAACTTATGGGGCAGACCCCCAACTTATGGGGCAGACCCACACTTATGGGGCTGAGCCACAACTTGGGGGGTGGGGACACGTTTAGGGGGCTGTGTGACACTTTTTGGGGGCTGGAAAGGAGCTGGGGGCAGCCACAAATATTGGGGGGAAACATAAAGCTCGGGGGCTGAGCCACAACTTATGGGGGAA